CTCACCCCACAATTTGTCCATCCCTTTTAGTTTGACTTCTTGAATCAGAGCCCTATTTAAAAATGACTTTTTTATGCCTAAAGACCATTTCCAGGAATAGGTCTGTATTAACTAAGTCAAATCTGGCTTGGTTGAGGAAATGTTCACTCTACGGGGATTTTAAGTTCGATAATTTGCAGAAAAAAATGTCCTCCTTTAAGATGTAACTGACATCACTACCATGTCATGCTGTGCAGGTGTGTGTCCTGCTGAGTTTATTTTGTACGTGATCATGTGCGTGAAGCAGAAGACGGGGCTGGGGTTGAGTGTGGGCAGAGCATATTTCATACAGGGGCTATTGATATATTTATCTTTTGCTTCCTAAACTAAGTGGTGAGCCCTCAAAGGCAGAAGAAATGTCTTTCATTGTCTTTCGTTTTTCCTTAACACTTAGTAGGGTTTAGCATAAACAGGAGATGCTTAATAAAGCCAACTTTGGAGCTTACACACGAGTTTTAGTTTGATCTCCTGGGGCTGGTGGAGAACATCAGAGGCAAGTACTTTTATTCTTAAGTTTTTATTTAAATTCCAGTTAACACCATGTAATATTAATTTCAGGTGCACGATACAGCGATTCAACCCTTCCATACATCACCCAGGGCTTATCACAACACAAGTGGCCCCCTTAATCAAGGCCAGCGCTCTTAGATTGCTCACCTTGTCTAGGTGTCCTTGTTGGGGTTAAAGTGCATCCAGGAAATTGTTAGTCTTAACTCTGTTGGTATTTTAGGGTCAATTTAAGGGTATCTATTCAAACCAGCTACACACGGACACGTATTTTAGGTACTCCCGATACACGAGAGCTGAATTTAAAACTATCGAGAAAGAAAAAAAAAAGGTGATAAGTTACTCAGTTGATAATTAAAGCAAATAAACCAAATATCTAATTAAACAGATTGTCAAATTCCACAATATGTGCTTGTTGAAGAGTAGATGAAAGTACATGCTAACCCATGCACAGTCCCTAAAATTAAGCCGAAGAGATTTAATGTGATCCTAAATTAAGTTATTAGCAAATACTTGTATTTGTCGAGGTAAAGAGTTGTGACCTCTATCGGGGTATATTTACTTAATGAGAGAAAATTCTTTTAGAATAAGAATTCCAAAATATGGAACAAAATTTCCCATTAAAGTAAAAAAAAAAAAAAACCCCACCAAAAAAACACTTTACTGATAAGTGACACAGGATGAAGATGTAAAAAGAATACTGCTTACCTGGGTGGCTTAGTCGGTTAATCGGTTAAGCATCTGACTCTCGTTTTCAGATCAGGTCATGATCTCAAGGTGGTGAGATCGAGCCCTGAGTGGGGTTCTGCACTCAGTGGGGAGTCTGCTTGTCCCACTCCCTCGGTCTCTGCCCCCTCCCCACCACCTCTCACTCGCTCAAAATGAATAATATCTGTAAAAAAAAAAAACCACAAAAAAACAAAAAACCACCAAACTGCTTACCAAGTAAGTGCATTGACCACTGTGTTCTGAAAAAGATGCCCAGATGCTGCTGTTCTTAGCACACTGATTCTTAACCCCGCCTGGTGCCATAATGGCTGGGAGTGGGGAAATGACACCTGTGTGGACCCAGTGCTGTCAGAATGACGGATATGAATATCTGACAAAGAACTTGCCGGCACAGATGGCTCTAGGCAGTAGCTTTCTCACTTGATAACCTGACAGATTGTCTATGAGTCGTAACTTGAAAAAGAGACTGCCCCGAATCCTAGTGAGGACACTTGGATCTTGTCTCTTACTTTTTACCTGCTATGTGGCTGTAATTTCTTTGGGCGTCCATTTGCTGTCCATGTCAGGAAAGATGGGTGTAAATGATACCACGCATCTCCTCTGGCTTTCAGTGCTCATTTTTTGTTACTGGTTGTAGTTGGTTTTTTGAAATATATCTTAATGCTATGATTTTAAATACAACAAGTTCAGATGTGGCCTTTAATTATCCATTTTTATATAAACGGAAAATGGGAGGAAAAACAAAATTTAGATTAAATGCCATACACTTAGAAAAAAAGCTTATCTCCATTTTATAAGCATAGAAGATCAATAAATAAAATATATATTGTTTTAGACATATATTTTAAGTTCCTTAAATACTGATAAGTATTCATGTGCTGTTTTATATTATATACATTCTAAATGTTGATCCAAAATGTGTATTTGAGATTACCTACCTGCTACAGTAAGTAGAAACCTTTTGTGTTACTAAGTTATTAGAATGTTACAATTAGTCCATTTTTGCTAGTTTCTACAAATAATGCAAGCAAGGACAGAAATATTTCTGCTTTTTAGAGTCTTATTTATAATGCTGAAGCGGAAGTACAGGATTAATACGTGAAAGGAAGGAACCTGCTATGTTACTTTACATTTCTTGGGAAACACCATTAATGTGTATGTTTGGTCTGTTTGGCAGAATCATTCAAACGTGTGTGGAAGTGATGCAGAAACGTGCGACTGTGTAGAACTGACCTATCCCTCTTCCTTCAAGAATCCCTTGCTTTGGTCAAATCTTCTGCAGTCATTGCTGCACGGAAACTTAGCAATGAGGACAGTTGAGTCCTTGGAAAATCACCTTTTTTCTTTTTTGAAGTTAACCATAGACAACTTTTGGTCTGGTAGCCACTGCTTTCAAGTAAAAATGCTCTCTCCCTCTCTACCCCCATCAGCTATGACATACTTAACAAGTGATGGCATTAAAGAAATGCGAAACAGGTTAGAATAAATTAAGAAAGGCGGGGAAAGAATTTCTGATATAGGCTGAGAAGACCACAAACATTTGGGTCAGACTGGCTGTGTGATTATGGTTTGAAGAGGCACCAACCTCTGAGAGACCTCCATGAGGTGGGTTAGCAGATGTGCTCAGACTAGGGCTGTGGAGTAGTGACTTGTTTCAGAGTTGTATTTTAAAGATTTTATTTACTTATTTATTTGAGAGAGAGATAGAGCATGAGCGAGGAGAAGGTCAGAGGGAGAAGCAGACTCCTCGTGGAGCTGGGAGCCCGATGTGGAACTTGATCCCGGGACTCCGGGATCATGACCTGACCCGAAGGCAGTAGTCCAACCAACTGAACCACCCAGGCGTCCCAAGAGTTGTATTTTAGATGTTGAAATTCTGCTTACTACCACTGAAATTCTGAATTCATTTCCTTCACTTTGTCTTTGCATTCAGAGCTGAATTAGGCCAGCTTCCATTGCTGCAGTTTTATTTGCAAGTGTGAATAAAGCAGGAAGTCCTTTAATAAAGCATTCTTTTTCTTCTTCTTTCTTCTCCTTCTTCTCCTCTTTTTTTTTGTTTTAATAAACGATTTTTAAGGGCGCCTGGGTGGCTCAGTTGGTTAAGCAACTGCCTTCAGCTCAGGTCATGATCCTGGAGTCCCGGGATTGAGTCCTGCATCAGGCTCCCAGCTCCACGGGGAGTCTGCTTCTCCCTCTGACCTTCTCCTCGCTCATGCTCTCTCTCACTGTGTCTCTCTCTCTCTCTCTCTCTCTCTCTCTCAAATAAATAAATAAATAAAATATTTAAAAAAAAATGATTTTTATTATAGAAGTAAGGTTTTGTTATTTTAGAAAAATTAGAAATTACATGTGAACAAAAAGAAAAAACTACGATCACATCACCTGAGATTACTGTTTAATTTATTGAATTTCTATCCTATTTTCTTATAGCTTTTTTCCCTTCATACTTGTGTCTCTGCATATTCATGTAAAACGGACATCATGATGCACTTCATTTGGTAGAAAAAGCATTCTCCTTGAGAATAGCATAAGCAAACTGAGTTTTACAGATTCAGGTATATGGAGGCAAGTGACACATTGAAGTAGTTTTCACAAATGTATTTGGCTCATTCATAGGCTTATGTGAAAAAATCATCTTCTGTTTGAAATTTTTTGAATAGAAAATGAACGAAAAGCCTACTTAGCAGAACAATTTCAGATAAACCTTTCAATTCAGTTTTCGACTCTGCCTGCACTTGTGGGGCTTTTGAAAGTGGTTAACATTAATTGGAACTTCCTTTAAATTCTTTAATTAGTTCAAGAAGAAGGAAGGCCTGTGACTTACTTTGTAGATCATTTCTGTCATTGACGCTATCAGAGAGTAGTTGACAATTTTTCAAATGGGCTTTTACTTCAGGCTTGGAGTTGCAGAGAAAACTGTACTTGGAGGCACCCGCCTCGAGCTCACTTGGAAGCTCTTGGTGGTGGTAGCTTGTCTCCTAGCACCATGTTGACCTTGCCACTCCCTTACTATGTGCAGGCTCTGAGAAATCTCCAGAAGGGAGAACTAAGGCTTAGCCATGTGGGATCTCTGGAATGAGGCTTAACATCGAAACCTCCTCACCCTGTGAAATACCAACCTATTTCTACCCCAGCTTCAGCTTCCACACCAGGCTTTCGGTGAGGGGTCAGGCTGAGGAGGCATTTGCTCACGGTTAAGGTCTAATATCACAGGCTCATGTCGAATTTGCTCATGTATGAACTTGCCAAGGCTTCAACTCCTAACGGGGACTCCCGAGAGCAGTAATGGGAAGGTGCGGTTAGACTGGGGTCAGATGATTCGAGGTCTACAAATAAACGAAGCTTCACCTTTTCACTTGTTTGCAAATGCAGTCTGCAAGCCTGTTGTTTCCGATCACCTCAGCAGATCTAGCTTGGCTTCCTGATTAGGAGCCTAGGGGTGTTGATGAATCTCAGGTACAGATGATATCTTATATGTTGTGAATGAAATTGAGTGCCATTGTCCGTAGTATCTGGCTTGACGAGATGATGACCAGTACACGGAGTCATGTAGGTCTTGCAGTCTACGGAAGTAGCTTCCTGGGGGTTGGATGATGGTGATTTCCACCTGTAGTCCTCATGTGGGTGCAGGTAAAGATAGAGAACAGTTTCCATTTTTTAAGTGCTTGTGCCTATGCTGAGAAGGTAAGCTATAGTTTTATAGAAGTTTCCTTTTTTCTTTGTAGATATAATACTTTGCCAAGCAGAAGAACCCTGAAAAATTCAAGATTAGTGAGTAAGAAAGATGACGTACATGTCTGTATCATGTGTTTACGTGCCATCATGAATTACCAGGTATGTTTGTGTTCTGAGTCTTTAAAAATCCAAATTCGTCAAAATCAGATCTTGTCCTCTTTGGTTTCTCAGTATTGTTTCTATTTGAAGTAAATATCAGGATTTAATGTGATTCTACTAAAAAAGGAAGGGTCTGGATCATTTTAATGCTCAAGACTTACCTCAGTGCCTGTGTATTTTAATTAGCATTTATATTTTGTGGTATATTTAGAGGGAAGATGTTTTCCTCCTTCAGTCATAAACTTGTTTAGATTATTGGGTAATTGTTTGTGACCATTAAAGACCGAGTAAGCTGCTGGTTGTAGGCAATACTGGAAGAACTTTAGAAAATTAGGATTGAATAGACTCTCACATGGGTCAGTGGTTCTCTCAAAGAATTAAATGGTAAAAAGGTGAGAAGCTGTAATTACTGTCTGTCAGACTTAGTGGTTCTTTTTTTAATATTTTTAACAATTTTACTTATTTAAGAGAGAGAGCTCAAGTGCACAAGCAGAGAGGGTGGGCAGAGGGAGAGGGAGAAGCAGACTCCTTGCTGTGGGCAGGTCGCCTGACTCGGGGCTCCATCCCATGACCCCAAGGTTATGACCTAAGCTGAAGGCAGACACTTAACTGACTGAGCCATCCAGGTGCCCCTGGACCTACTGGTTCTTAATCTTTTTAAGAAGCACCTGGAGGATTCTTCTTCAAAGGGCAGATTCCTCTAGGTGTCTTTGATACAGGTGATCCCCTTCATAATGGGGACAGAAGACAGCTTAACGTGTGGGTTGTATTAACTCAAACAACAAGTCAAAGTTGGAGCCTGGAGTATCAAGGATGAACTGACAGGGTCCAAGTTAGATAAGGGGAGCCAGGGGTAAGAATTGGAAAAACCTAATTCAAATATAAAAATAGGATTTGGTATCTATGGATAGGGATGCTGAAGGTGGGTCCAAGCAGAAGTGGAAAATAAATGCATAGGTAGCGAGGGTCAGTATTAGAATTCAAACCCAACATAAGTGTGCTGAATTGAATTTGAGAATGTGAATGCACATTTTATTTTTTCTCTCAATATTTTTTGAGCATTGCCAGATAGACCCTGTTCTAGGTGAAGGGAATACAACATTAAAGAAATAAACAAATGCCCCAGGGAACTTACTCTCTAATGAGGGGAGACAGCTGATAAATAACTTGAGAAAACATACAGGGTTCCAGATAATAATGATGATGAAATGAAACAAAAGCTAATACTTATCAAAAACAAACAACAAAAACAAAAAAAACTTCACAAAAAACCCAAAGAACAAAACACAGAGAGTGTTTCCTAATAGGACCAGCACTTTTAAGCCTATTTACTTAATTTAAAGCTCTTAACAGTCCTATGAGATTGGTAATGTTACTCTCCCCATTTTACTGATGAGGAAACTGAGACAGGGAGAAGTTAGGTAATTTGCCCAGGAAAGGGGTAGAGTCAGATTTAAATCCAAGAAGGACCGGCTCCAGAGAATTGTTACCAATACTGTAGAAAAGCTACCCAAGAAGTAAGAATAGGAATTGATGAAAATGTGTGTTCAGTTTTAAATAGGCCAGCCCAGGGCAGTGTCTTGGAGAATTAGCAATTTGTCATCATAGCAATTTTAATGAGGGAACAAGGTAAGAGGTTTTAGGGAAAGAAGATTCTGGGTAGAAAAAGGGGCGAGTGCAAAGGCCGTGGGGCAGAAATAAGTCTGCTGTGTTTGGAGTGTGGAAAGGACGCCAGGCTGGCTGGATCGGACTAAGAAGGAGAACAGTAGGAGATGAATCCGAAGTTGACACGGGGTCCTGATTGTGTGGGGCTTTAAGAGCCAGTGAAAGGATTTTGGCTTTATTGTGAGTGGAAAGCTATCGAACAGTTTGGAGGAGAAACATGACATGATCTGACTCTTGATTTTAACATGACCATTCTAGCTTCTGTGTTTACGATTGACCTTGGGGGGCAAAGGCAAAAGGAGGTAGACCTTTTAGGAGGCTGCTGCATTGATTTAGGTCGATGTTGATGGTGGTATGGGGCCAGGATAGTAGGAGTAGAGATGATGAGAGGTGACCAGATTCTGGTTTTGTTTTGACGGTAAAGACAATGACATTGGCTATGTGGTGAGAAGTGGAGGGTGGCCCCGAGATGTTTGTCTTGGGCCCCTGTCAGATGGAGTTGCCGTCTACTAAGACAGGGAAGGCTACACAATGAGCAGATTTGGGACACAATATAAAGAGTGAAATTTTAGGGGTGTTACTTTCAAAATGTCTGTAGTCCTCGAAACAGGGTTCTTAAGTCAGTGGTGAGATATGCCCGTCTGGAATTCAGAACAGAGGTCTAGGAGACGTAAATTTGGGAATTAATAGGTAGTATATAAAGCCAGGGGAGTGCTTGAGAGCAGCAGGGGTAGCTAGACAAGCAAAGAGGTCCAAAATAGGAACCCTGGGCACTCTGTTTAAATGTCAGAGAGCTGAGGAAAAACTAGCTAGAGAGACTGAGAAGTAGCCAGGGAGGGAGGCAGGTACCAAGCACAGGAAGTGTTTCGAGGAGAAGAGCATGGTCAGCTGGGACAGTGCCACTGCTAAGTCCTGTAAGATGACAAGTGAGAGTTGGCCATGGGCTTACAGAATGTGGGTCATCGGCAGTCCTGGCATGAACAGTTTCAGTGGAGAGAGATGGGATGAAATGCCTGATTAAAGGGATTGCAAGAGACAGTGGGAGGAGGAGAGTCTAGGCTGTGAGTGCTTGGAGTTTTGCTGTAGAGGTTAGCGGAGATACAGGGCAGTAGCTAGACACAGGTTGAAGGTCAAGAGAGATTTTGCCATTGTGGCTACTGTTTCAGTTGGGTACATTTGCATCACGTTTTTATGCTAATGAATCAGAGAGGGAGAAGTAACAATGAGGGATGGGAGAATTGCTGGAGCATTAAGAAATGTTTTGGGGGTGGTGAGAGGGAACGGAATCAAGTGGAGAGAATGGCCTTGGATTAGAGCCCAGGAAAGTTCTTCAGGAAGAGGTGAGTGAGGATGAAAGCTGTGGAAACCATGGGTGGATTGATGAAGGGGTGCAAGCTTTTAGAAATTTTTTTTTTCCTATCTGCTTATATTTTCTCAGTGTAATTAGGAAAAAGGTCATGAACTGTGAGGTTAGAGGAGAAGGAATAGTTTCTCAAGTCAGTGAAATCAAAAGTGATTCTGGAACTTGTTACTTCATTGAACTTACACATCTCAGAACAAGGCAGGTCTTCCTGGGCTCTGGTCCCGAGTGCCGTATTTCCCAGGGAGGCTACTAGAAACAGTGGTTGTCAACCCAGGCTGCACAGAAAAGTCAGCTTAAAAATTCAGATGCCACAGGGGCATACAAATCAAAACCACAGTGAGATACCACCTCACACCAGTCAGAATGGCTAAAATTAACAAGTCAGGAAATGACATGCTGTCGAGGATGGGGAGAAAGAGGAACGCTCCTACACTGTTGGTGGGAACGCAAGCTGGTGTAGCCACTCTGGAAAACACCATGGAGGTTCCTCAGAAAGTTGAAAATAGAGCTACCCCATGACCCAGCAATCGCACTACTGGGTATTTACCCTAAAGATACAAATGTAGTGATCCAAAAGGGCACGTACACCCGAATGTTTATAGCAGCAATGTCCACAATAGCCAAACTATGGAAAGAACCTAGATGTCCATCAACAGATGAATGGATAAAGAAGATGTGGTATATATATACAATGGAATACTATGCAGCCATCAAAAGAAATGAAATCTTGCCATTTGCAACGACATGAACTAGAGGGTATTATGCTTAGCGAAATAAGTCAATTGGAGAAAGACAACTGTCATATGATCTCCCTGATATGAGGAAGTCGAGAAGCAACATCGGGGGCTTGGGGGGTTGGAAAAGAATAAATGAAACAAGATGGGATCGGGGGGGGGAGACAAACCATAAGAGACTCTTAATCTCACAAAACAAACTGAGGGTTGCTGGGGGAGGGTGGTAGGGAGAGGGTAGTGGGATTATGGACATTGGGGAGGGTATATGCTATGGTGAGTGCTGTGAAGTGTGTAAACCTGGCGATTCACAGACCTGTACCCCTGAGGCTAAATACATTATATGTTAATTTTTAAAAAGTTAAAAAAAAAGATAAAAATTAAAAATAAAAATTCAGTTGCCAGGGTCCCATCCTTGAGATTGGAAGTGAATTGACCTGGGGGTGTATCCTGGAAAATCAGTGTTGTGTTTTGTTTACTCTTCCAGGTGATTTTGATAAGCAGCCAGATTGAGAATCACAGGACTAGAGCCTTTTCACTATTTTAATAAAGAGAAATGCATAGTTCCATCATAAAGAACGGAATATGATTCCTTGATAGTATCATGATTGCTAAAATTTTTCATAGAGAAATCTGTTCAGGCACTAGAGACATAAATGGATTTATGACGGTATAACTTATATTAGGTAGAATCTTCGGGTTTTTTTTTTTGTTTTGTTTTGTTTTTCTTAATCAACATGGATAGTCCCCTAAGTTGACTCCTAATGCTTTGGGTTTTTTTTTTTTTTTTTTTCCCCAGTATGGTTTCAACATGGTCATGTCTCATCCACATGCTGTCAATGAGATCGCGCTGAGCTTGAACAACAAGAATCCAAGGTAAGCTTACTTTGTCATTTTTCAAGTGTAAATAAATCTAACCAGAGGAAGAAGAGAGCCAGTCAACACTTAGTCAACTTAGAGTTGGGACACTTCCAAGTGCACCTCTTTGAATTAAGGTTGCCAGCAGACTCGTTGGCTATGTAGAATTTTCTTCTCAGCTGAGTTACAGTTTTACATGTGGTGGAGTTGAGCAACTGGCGACAACATTACCCCCTCACTGTTCTCTTCCATCTTCCACTTCTTTGGCATCCTCGCCTGGTTCTTGGCATCCTCGCAAATTTTACCAAATTGAGTAGAGAGCATGAGTTTGCCAGGTGGTTAGAACTGGGGCCAGGAGAGTCTTCAATCAGACTTAGCAATACCACTGACCGCTGAAAGCTAACTACAGCCACTGTCCCTTGTCCACGCCTCACTTGCAAACCTTTACATATGTCGTTATGACCAAACAACAAAAGAAACACAAAACAAAAATTACTGTGTATGGTGATTGTTTCTTCTGTTCACTTGACTCTAAAGGCCACTGCCATATTATTCACATCACAGATCATCTCTAGAAGCCAGTCTTAATCAGTTTATTTTAGTTACTGTAATGGGTTTTCCATTCTGGTGAGGGATTCTGCATTTCACACATCTTACTCCCTTTCACCAGATACATCTGTATAGACCGTGCATCTGAAAACTTGTTAATGCAATTAAAAAATCTGATCACAGATGAGATCCTTTCTGATACAGAATGAAATGAAAAATTTATAAATTTTGAATATTATTTCAAACTTCCTCCGATGATAGTTTTTGCAACTTGGCGATCACTTTCTTCATTTCCTAAAAAGTCTGGGGAGTCCTGCTTTTTTGTCCCTGCCTTACACTACAGGGAAGTTGTTACTCATTTTTCTTAGGATAATTGACATTGTGAATTATCAGGCCAGTCTTCATATAGAGGTTGGCAATAGTTTTTTTTCTAGGAAAAAAAAAATACTGAAGTGATCTTATTATGAAAAAACAATGCTGTTCTTGAGGTCATATTGAAAACTTAGACTATATTGCTAAGGGCTTCCTTATAAAAATATTTCAGATAAGGTTTTATTTTCTTTTTTCAAGTCAGAAAATATTCTTGTATTAGCAATGCTATAATCCAGCCCCTCTCAGATCTCCTGCATATGAAGAAGTGGTGACAGAGACTTGCTTTGTCATAGGGGATCTTTATGGTACCATCTGCAAATTGCAGGTTTGAAATGGAGGACGTTAATTGCAGTAGATTTTGAACTTTTGGGGCAAATGTTATTTCTCTGACTTTAAAGCCAGGAAAAATATTTAGCCAGTGGGTCCTTTTCCTGAACATTCCCAAGTTCCTAGGTGTCTAGCTTATCAATAAAACTTTATCATACGTATTGTACTGAGTCACCCACTGGTAGAAATGAAAGACTAATCTTCCCAGAATTGATTTTCATTAGTGAGTAATTTATAATTTTGGGAGTGGGAAACTTTCCTTCTAAATTTGCTACCTCAGATAAATCGCACACGTAGATGTTAGTAGAGGTTTAAAAATGTACTTTCATATAAATATACCTTAGTAAAAGTTTAAAAAACATACATGAATTAATATTTTATTATCACAGCCATCTCGGAAGGAGGGAGTAGCTGACTCATTGTGTTACTTTCACTGATTTTTTTTTTTTTTTTGCTTGTTTCTTCTTGCTTCGACAGAACAAAAGCCCTTGTCTTAGAACTCTTAGCAGCTGTTTGTCTTGTCAGAGGCGGGCATGAAATCATTTTATCAGCATTTGACAACTTTAAGGAGGTAGGATCTTTTGTAGTTCGCTCACACAAACCTCTCTGGAAGTCTTTGAACAGAATGATTTACCTTTTCTGTGTGTGTTTTCTTATTGGGAAATAACTGACTTCAGTTTCAGGTGTACAACATAAGGACTTGCTATTTGCATGTCTTGTGAAATGATCACCACAATAAGCCTAATTAATATCCGTGGTTGACCTTTTTAATGTCTTCTGGGGCCTCAAGGGTATAACAGTTAATTTTCTAAGACGTCACTGAGGGAGAAGTAATGAACTTAGTTTAAATATCTTAAAGGGATGCTTTAAGCTTCCTTGGGTGTCTCATTTCCAAGAAAAGTTAAAAACTATTTGCAGGATCCATTTTCCTTTGGAGAACGTGGAATTGCCAGTTTGAAAACATGTTTTGTTAAATGTCTGAGGTTTTCATTATGGTGATACTTGATTACCTTCCGTGTACATTTTAGGAACTCTTTGATCATAGTTACTTCCCCCAAATCTTTTGTATTATCATTGCTGTGCTGGACGCCACACACACACACCAAAAACCCTCTCGGTTAAATACAGACACTGATTTCAGCAGTTGGTAATCTTAATGAGGTGATCCTGTCCTAGACAAACAGTTAACCAGCAGACATGTGTGGTTGAAAATGAAAACTGAAATGACTACAAAGAAAGAATGACATGCAGATTATATGATACCAAGGATGGTGGCCCAGAGTATCAAGACATCATGACTGGAATAACCCCTCATTTCCCTGAGTGGTAGCGTGCAGGGTCACGTGGCCATGAAGAGCGCCTGTTTGCTCCCCTACCATGGGCCTAACATTTAAGGCTCCTTTGCAGTGGGGTGTTATAAAAGTCAGTAAAGGCACTTGGATCTCAGGCTTTTGTAGGGCCGTCAGCCAAGTTGTGCTTTCTCCTGGCGACCCTGTTAGGTTTCAGAAGCTTCTGGATTCGAATACAGATCTCAGAGGGTCTTCCAGACTCTCTCTCATCTTTCCTGGGAGCCTCTGGAGTAAGAACCCAGCTAGTATTTGTCAACAACCTCCTGTACGATGGGCGCCATGCCAAGTACACCCATGAAATCGTGAGAATATGTGAGACAAGTATTCATGTCTACATGTTCTGGAAGAATAAATTGAAATTCCAGATACCTGGTTGGCCCATGGCCCATAGCCAGAGAAGTGGCAGAGCGAGGACCAGGATTTGGTACTCTTGATCACCAACTCCCGTTTTAGGTGGCATTTGGGCCCAGCTGTGCATAAACCTCTTGGGGAAATACCGAATTAGATAGGACCTCAGAGCCATTTCCCCCATCCTACACCTTTCATTGGACTTACTGCACCAGTTGCTGAGGTACTAGCGAGTGACCCATGATCGCACATGTGGACTAGAAAGCTCCAAAGATGTCATCAGGCAGGAGGACCCTTTCATTTGTATTGTTTCCCTCCCTTCAGTCACTGCTTTAAGATTCTGATATGCATTTTGTTAATGCCAGCCATGGACAGAATCAAATATTGCCTTTTTACCCATTCAGTCTCAGGGATAGTGAAAAAATATCCAGGTTCTAAGAATATGAGGAATAATGGTGAATCTTAAATTCATACTTTGTCATCAAAAAAAAAAAACCACAGAGGCTTTAGAGAGAAGAAATGTATGAATGCTTGTCTGTGGATGTTTTGCATAAAACATATTAGTACATAAAATTCACATTTACAAATAAGATGTTTGGGTAGATGGGTGTGTAGGAAAGTGAAACAGCTCACAAAGCTACTCTAACTCCCAAATCTTTACCATTTGATCATATTGTCACATGTCTAATTCCTTCCACATTGGAAACACTTACTCTACCTTATCAGTGACCCTTGTTATAACATAAGCAATATCACAACAAGCATCTGATGATATTGCAGGTCAGATTATGTCCTCAAATTATAATTGTGTGCAATCAATCAGGAATCATTAAAACCAGTAATTCATGAGATGGATGTTAATCTTGTGTCCTTTTAGGTAAAACAGAATGTCTTTCTTATGCATGATCATACTTGCAGAACTGAGTTTCAGTGACCTGGTTTCAGAATTGTATACAGTTTATCTGTTTAGGACATAGTGGGTGCTTAGTTGAAAAAAAGTAATCTTACGAAATCTAATGGCTAAGTAACAGTGCAAACTAAATTAATTTTGACTTTGAATTTTTTTTTTTTTAAAGATTTTATTTATTTATTTGACAGAGAGAGATCACAAGTAGACCGAGAAGCAGGCAGAGAGAGAGAGGGAAGCAGACTCCCTGCTGAGCAGGGAGCCCGATGCGGGACTCGATCCCAGGACCCTGAGATCATGACCTGAGCCGAAGGCAGTGGCTTAACCCAGTGAGCCACCCAGGCGCCCCTGACTTTGAATTTTAAAAACTTAACTAACAAATCTGCCTTACTTCTGTTACTTCATTACTTATGAGTGATGGGGTTTAAGATCTGATTCTCCTTGGACGGGCACTGGTGTCTTAGAGAAACAATGCCACGTGGGAGAAGGGACAAGAGCGGGTTCTGTGTGTGCTCTTGGCGTGCATTGACCTCGAGGCGCGGGATCCGTGTAAACAGACCAAGCAAAGGGATTACTCTAATAGCTGTGTGAATGAGGAGAGGGCAGGAGCATGCCCCTGAGAAACCTGATTGATTCTTACAGATAGGTCAAAAGAATGTCAACCCATTTATCTGTTCAATTTTAGCGTGAAAAGGAATTACTTTATGTTGATCCTTTTTTTTTTTTTTTTAATGCCATTGTCAGTCCAGAGTGTCTTAAATTTCTTTTTCTCTTTTCCCCCATTTTATGTGAAGGATTTTTTTTTCTTATACATCATAGTGAAGAGTGTGTTCTTTAATCATTTAAGGAAAAATGTCAGTGAAATCTTCTGGGTTTAGGGAGATTTGGGAGCCAGCTGCTCCTGATAAGGAAAAGTGTACTTAGGATCTCAGATCCTTGTGCAGATAGGGTTTGGGTGAGAGTGATACGTTTTGGGCCATTCATGGCAGAGAGAAGACCATACCACATACCAGGATTCCAGCAAGTGTGGCCAACAAAGACACTTTGCCTTCAAGAAGATTGTAAAGCTTCTCATCCCTTTTAGTAAGTTGGGATTCCATTTGTCTCCTTAAGAAAGATGATGGGATCATCCTAATTTTCGCTGAGGGGACTGGTGGAGGGTGGTTGTGGAGTTCGACATTAGACAGCAGTATCTTGTCTTGCAAATAAAGTAATAGGCATTAGAGTAGCAGACTCTTTGGGCTTTGATCATTGTGAAAGCACGGCCACGCACACTGTTGCAATGTGGCACCAGATGCTAAAGGGAGGCTTAAAAACCCTGCATCTTAAGGATGTAGCGGGTTGTTTTCCTCCTCTGTTTCTTCTTCTTCTCCTTCTTCTTTTTTATTTTTTAATTTTTAAAAAAATTTTTTAGAAGATTTTATTTATTTATTTGACAGAGAGATCAAAAGTTGGCAGAGAGGCAGGCAGAGAAGCAGGCAGACAGACCCTGAGATCATGACCTGAGCCAAAGGCAGAGTCTTAACCCAACTGAGCCACCCAGGCGCCCCTTCTTCTTTTTTAAAGATTTTATTTTTATTTATTTGACAGAGAGAGACAGTGAGAGAGGGAATACAAGCAGGAGGAGTGGGAGAGGGGGAAGCAAGTTTCCCTCTGAGTAGTGAGCCTGATGCAGGGCAATTTGGGGCTCCATCCCAGGACCCCCGGCATCATGACCTGAGCTGAAGGCAGAGCCACCCAGGTGCCCCTCCCCCTCTGCTTCTTGAACCACCAAATCCCTTCTGTCCTACTTGTCTACCACTAATTAATTCAAATGTAAATTACAGGAAGATGTCTCTTCACTTTTGATAGACTTTTATGTATGATTCCTTGAATTTCTCATTATTCAGTTAGTATTCAAAATCCTAAGTTTGGTTTTCTGTGTTTTTGCCACAGATTTTGTCACATATCCTCATAATACCTGGAGGACATATTTTAGGAAAATAGGGAGCACTTCCAGTTTTATGATATCTGAGGGCAGGAAGAATATTAACCCAAGGCTTTGCTTTAGGTGGGTGTTGAGGTTGGGTCTAAGCCTGGTGTCCCTGAGGAAGCACATATGTCACATTAATATATTTGATGATAAATGAGTTCTTATACCAGGTGTGGTTTGTGACATGCCTGAAAATTTGAGTGTGGTGAGTAAAGACCAAACCATTTATTCAACCATGATGCTCCTTGAATTTTTTTCTCTTAAAGAAGTTTTTTTTTTTTTCCTAAATAAAAGGAATAACACATCTGCTTTTGGTGTTGAAACCTCTCCTCATAAAAATTTATGATCCTGAATTGAGGATCAGGGTGAGAACAAGGAGTCATCTGTTTTTTGCTTATTGGCGAATTTTGCTATGTGGAGGGACGTATTACCATTTTGCCTAAGTCAATACTTTTAGTTGTATAGCAATATATGTTTTTGAACATTTGGCCTCCCCAACAGGAAAAAAATACATTTGGAAGCAAAGTCGTTCTCTTGGTATTTGCAGTAGTTCAGTTCTTGTCTGTGAGAAGCAGAAAGCAACTCTTACAGAAGAAAGTGTTCATTGGAAAGATGTTGAGAAATGCACAGGGTTGACAAGGAGCCTAGAGAAACAGGCCTGGAAAATGAGCAGGCTTTCCTAAAATGTGGCTAGACTCTCAGGCTGTGTCCCCTTGAAGCTTAGCCACGGTAAACATGACTCGAGGTTCTGATCATGCTTTTTCTTCTCTCCCAAATGACAGGGACCATAGCTAACCATCAGCTGGGTCATCAGAGTACGTTTATGGGTTAAGGACATGAACTAGCCCCCACTTTAGAGTTAAAGACACGATTTAATCTACTTTCCCGTAAGAACTGGAGGTCTTCCACCTAGACCTTGCTCTCTTCAACTTTTCCTAGTCTTCCTCCTGTTTTTCTGTTCTGTTCTTTGGCATATCTGACAATATTCAATCCTT